CTTTCTGCTTCCTCACATTTATATATTCCAATTAGCTGAACTCTGTGTCATTTCCATAGCGCTGCTCTGTCAAAGGTTTTTTGGAATTCTGTGCTCCTCTGCCCTTTCTCTGCTCATCCTCCTAAATTACACTGAGATGATGAACCGCCTCCGAGGCTCAAGGCTTTCTGAGATTTAGAACTTTGTCCTGGATGAAGGACAGGTTAGGAGAGACATTAATATGCAGAACAGGTAATATCAAAACCGCAACGTACTTTATGGCGCCTGGCACACATTATCAATCTATTTGTGCAAGCTGCCCTGCAAGAATTTCATTTGCCACTCGTTTATTTGCCTTCCTCAACAATTACACTGCCGGAACAGGATTTGATTCAAAGTAATGTTCCAAGGGCACAAGTTACTTCAGTGCACTCTATTGTCAAAGAGTGTGAATTGTCAAAAAAGGCTTTTGTTACTTTCAGTACAATTTTATAGCAATCTATTTCAAGTAAACCCATTTTTAGAAGGGGTCAGTCGATGTACACTATTGGCCAAAAGTTTTAAATAATTAACATTTTTTAAAGAAGTCACATTGCTCACCAAGGCTGCATATATTTGATCAAAAATGCAGTAAATATTTTTACACTTTAAAATAATTATTTTCTATTTAAATATGTTTTAAAATGTAATTTATTCCTGTGATGGCAAAGCTACATTTTTGGTAGCCTTTACTCCAGTCTTCAGTGTCACATGATCCTTCAGAAATGTTGATTTAATGCTCAATTATTATTGGGACCCAATTAATATGAATGAGTCTTATTATTATCAATGTTGAAAACAGGTTTTGCTTCAAAACTTTTTTGTGGAAACTGTGATACATTACTTTCAGGAGTATTTGATTAATAGAAAGTTTAAAAAGAACAGCAATCCTTTCAAATAAAAAAGTAACATTATTAATATCTTTACTGACACTTTTGATCAGTTTAATGTATCCTTGTCAAATAAATATGAATTACTTTTTTTTACTTACTCCATACTTTTGAATGGTAGTGTATCACGGTTTCCACAAACTACTGGAAATTCAGTTTTGCCATCACATAAATAAATTACATTTTAAAATATATTCAAATAGAAAACAATTATTGTAAATTGCAATAATACTGTATATGACCATTTTAAGATTTTTGCTGTATTTTTGATCAAACTAATGCAGCCTTTGGTAAGCATAAGATACTTCTTCACTTAAAAAAATGTAATTTTTCCAAACTTTTGACCGGTTTTGACTAGTTGTGCCTCGGTGAGAATATTTCAGCACCATGGACAGCAGCTTACTGTTGTCCAGCAGCCATGCAGAAGTGTAGAACGACACAGGCAGCAGGCCTGCTGTTGAAGAAAATAACATTTTGATTTATTATTTATTTCTTGACAAAAAAAAATATGATTGTCATTTGATTGTAAGGCTCATTCAAGATAAAATTTTAGGATGAAAATGTGAGACTCTCCTCTTGAGACCACTCCTCTGCTGAAATTTAGATTGGAGCATTCCGGTTCCACTCCAGGTTCATCAACCGTACTCCCAGCGACCTACGGTGCTCCCTCTGTAGACCAAATTGGTCTGTAAATTACCCGTTAATTGCATATGATTATTATTATCATGACGATGGACGTGCTCATCAGACGCTTTTCATTTGGGCCGGCTTGAAAACAGTGAAAGGGACGAGAGAGAGGTGAAAAGAAAGACTATAGGGAACAATAATGGCAACATAACTTATATAATCGTTGCGATACTATGCACAGAACATAATTATAATGATTTGTGCTAACACATTTCGTCCTTGTATTAAAAATATGGCTCAAGGCAAGTCGGGCGTGATCTCGGGCAGCGCGGCCCCAAGGGTATGCTTGCAGAACCGAGCGCAGTGCCCTGCCAAAGAAAGCGGACTGACTCAGCTGGGCTGGGTTATACTGACAGTCCGAAATGACATTAACGGGCCATTACAGCCTTTTGAGTGCGGTAGGAGAGAGGGCCACGGAGTGTATTTCGTTTCCTTTTCAATGCTACTTTGGACTGCATCCAACATTTTTAAATCGCATCGTTAAGGCCAAACACATACAAGATTATACGGTGTTTTAATATTTGCCCAGTTGACCTTTGGAACATGAAACGATAAGAGATGCAATGTAGATACAAGAGCTGCTGAGCTATAAATTACTTATTTGGAAAGATGCAATTAAGTCGCTCTTCTAAGAAACATAGCATGCTGCAATGCATTGCATTTTTTTGTATTATTGTGAACTCTTAAAAATAAAGGTTGCACTTAGAACCAAAAAGGAATTTACAATCACACATCATAGAAAACCTTACACATTGTACAAAGTGTAAGCGTAAACAACTATTTTTTCTTTTTTTTTATGTTGCATTTATTTTTTATTGTAATGTATCTATTTTTATTTTATTTTATTTTAGAAAACATGCGCACTGATGCTTTTTTTAATATCCCAAGAACCATATATCCAACTCAAGGATACAGTGAAATTCATTGAAACACTTTTAACATCCATGGTATGAACCCCCCTTTTTTTTCAGAAAACCTTTTGTGCAATGAAAAGGTTCAATGGATGTTAAAGGTTCTTTGTGGAACTGTAGATGCCATCAAAGAACCTTTGTTGTGCATGAACATGTTACATTTGGTATCATGTTGGTTCTCCACTTGATATCCAGTGCCAAATCTGAGTTTTGAAGTGAAACCAATTGAGAATCATTGTTCTGAACAGCTACGTCATGGGGTTTTCAAAGCATTCAGAAGACCTCCTCTAAAGTGGCTTGTTGTATTCCTCCACTTTAGGGTCACTTGAGTGCTCCTACCTGCCGTTGTACTGGTGCTGAACACATGTACACCTGTTGTTCTCCGTGGGCCTCGTGCTCAGCAGGAACTCTGAAGCAGCCTACAATTTCCCATCATTATGAGCAGGTGCTTTGGTCTCGACAGTGGTGTGTTATTGTCAGCATGAAAAACGCTGTGGTTGTGTGCTCTGGTGTGGAAATTGGAGGCTTGCATGCAACGTTTGCACATGTGCATGCACACTTTGACTGTCAACAGCGGTTCATATCGTGGATAAGTGGGATTTTAGAGGTGTTCAGGGCTCAGGTTAGATGTTTGGAGGCGTCACTCAAACCTCCAAGCAGTCTTCATTACATCTGTTCAGTCAGTCTTCATTACATGAAGGTTGTTTTTCCTGACCAGGAAGAACAGCAGATCTCTGAAGGTTCATTGATGGGGTTATGTTATTAAATTGAAGAGACACTTTGTTTTTGGCTTCAGTGAAAGACGAGAGTTTATTATTGAAGCAAATGCTCTATAATCATTCGCAACAGCATTTTTATCTGATGAAATCCAAAGACACAAAAAAAGTAAGCTCTAAGTGAAAATATATGACTATAAATAATCTCTCTAATAGTACTTAAAATTTCCACTGTCAGCTATTGACCTGTTACTCTTGAATTATGTTACAGGGACACAGAAAATATGACCATGCTGTAATTCTACTCTAAATGCAGCCATAAATGATAATCAATTTAAAAAAAATGTTTTATGATAAGATTTTAATTGCTGTTTGTAATGTCAATTTCAATAGGCATAGATTCTGAACTCTAGCAACATCCAGATTGTGTGTGTGTGGTCCTGGAATTTCCTACATTATGGGGGGCCAAACGTCCCCACAAGTATAGTGATACCAGTAAATTTTGACCCTGTGGGGACAATTTTACAGAATTTGTTTTTTTGAAAATCTAAAATAGCAGGGGTCAAACGTTTGTATTATGCTCACCAAGACTCCATTTATTTGATACAAAATGCAGTAAAAATAGCAATATTGTGAAATAGTATTACAATTTAAAATAACTGTTTTCCATTTGAATATATTTTAAAATGTAATTTTCACTTAGAGATTGCTAGTAAACTTTACAATTACAAAGAAATGGGAAGTAACTTGTTGAATTAAAAGTGACATTTTGAAGTCATCATTTCTTATAAAATTTAATGTTTTATATAATTTTATATTGTAATTAATTTGAAAAAGCATTATTATAGTGTGTGATGGCAAAGCTAAAATATATTGAAATGTAATGTATTTCAATTGTAATATAGAAGCTGTTGTTGTTTTAAGACATCATAAACATTCAAACTATGATATATTTGTTTCTGCATTATTTCCAAAATAAGGTTATTAAGCCACATATGTAGCACTCATATATTGACACAGTACCATCCAATCTAAAAAATGCATTATGATGGCACCAATTGACCAAAACCATACAAAGCACTCAGATAAAAGAGATGCTCACTGGAATGGACACTGGGTGTGAACGATTTAAAGGTTTCTCTTTGGGAACCAACAATATTGTACAGATTTGTATATGTATCACACCCATTCCTGAACACGCACACACAGTATCGCCTCCCTGCCCGTACACACCGCGCGGAGGAGCTCACAGCCCTCTTTCTAGCTCGTAAATTTAAAAAGAGACATCGATTAAACACAAATACATTTTAGTATTTCTTTGATAAGTAAAAAAAATAATAATAATGATAAAATTGAAATGATTTATCCCGCACAGCGGGCGAGGTTACATGCATAAGGCTGTTTTTGCCCTTGCACTTTCCGAGTGTTTCAGCACTGGCGCTGTCCATTAGATCCCCTCGAATTTTTGTGAATCCTTTGATGCTTTCCTGAGAAATGCACATGGGGGAAACATTATGCATTAAAGTGCGTTGAAAAAAAACAATGCATACATGTTTTTTGGAAATAAACAGATTGAATGCCACTATGTACAAGTCTAAGGTGCGTCATTCACAAGGCAGCGTACAAAGCCGAAATGTGATATTTTCTTTATTTATAGTCCCTCTCCTTCGGCGGAACATACCATGTTCCTGTATAACGATGAGAGGGGGAGAGAGAGCGTCGTGTGACATAAAGGGAGCTGCTTTTTCTTCTCTTCCTCCCCACTGCACTGAGCGCGTTTGAGACAGCCCTGTCGGTTTAAACCGGGTGGACACCCATACCGACTTCTCAATGCAAAAAATAAAAGGGTAGCTAGAAGCTGGGGCGAGGGGAACGGAGGTAAAGCGAACGCTCTCGGTCGGTCGGTCTCTCTCTCTCTCTCTCTCTCTCTCCCTCTCTCTCTCTCTCTCTCTCTCCTCTCGTTTTTATTACATGAATGAATGAATTGAGTAGTAAGGGGCACGTACAAGGAAACACGCCTCCGTCCGGACGACCAAAACGCGTTTGATATTTGACTTGTGTTCAATGGTACGTGTTTGCATCTGTACATTTTCGGCGAACACCAGAGTAGGACGTCTCATCCCGTCGTTTGAAACACTTCTGAAGGCGTAGCAGCTGAAAGTCCTCGCGGTGAACATGGCAACTTTAACGAACGGACAGGTGGACGCCGCGGTGCACGGAGGAGCGGCCAGTACGAACGGGCTCGTGAACGGAATAAGCCACACGCACAGTCCCGCGAGCTGCGCCACCATTCCCATGAAGGACCACGATGCCATCAAACTGTTCATCGGACAGATACCCCGCAACCTGGACGAGAAGGACCTCCGGCCGCTCTTCGAGGAATTTGGCAAGATCTACGAGCTCACCGTGCTGAAAGACCGCTTCACTGGCATGCACAAAGGTACGTTTCACACTCGGTTCCTGTCACTAGAATGTCTTGATTTGCTTTGCCTCCGTTTCCATCATAAAATCGGATGACAGGCTTGGATGTACTGGCTGTTTTTAATGCATATATAAAATGTGTTAGGGAATTGTTCATTCATCGGTGTACTACGAAAGTTAAGTATTGATTTAGAATTGTTCCGTAACCAACACGAAGCGAATTTTGTTAGATAGCGATTGAAGGCGTACGGTACTTCGGTTTTTTTTTTACGCGAGCCTATTTTGAGGTTGGGGGGTAACACGTATCGTATTCTGTGTTTCACGCTCTTCATACTTCCTTTCTTAGTTGTTCATTTTTGGTAGTCATGTTTTGAGATTGCACGCTGTGCATTTGTAACGTTCTTATTTGAATATTAACGTTGGACAAATACTGTTTAATAACTGCTTTTTCCTCTGTGTGAAAAGTCGCTCCGGCCGCTCTTCGAGGAATTTGGCAAGATCTACGAGCTCACCGTGCTGAAAGACCGCTTCACTGGCATGCACAAAGGTACGTTTCACACTCGGTTCCTGTCACTAGAATGTCTTGATTTGCTTTGCCTCCGTTTCCATCATAAAATCGGATGACAGGCTTGGATGTACAGGCTGTTTTTAATGCATATATAAATGTGTTAGGGAATTGTTCATTCATCGGTGTACTACGAAAGTTAAGTATTGATTTAGAATTGTTCCGTAACCAACACGAAGCGAATTTTGTTAGATAGCGATTGAAGGCGTACGGTACTTCGGTTTTTTTTTTTACGCGAGCCTATTTTGAGGTTGGGGGGGTAACACGTATCGTATTCTGTGTTTCACGCTCTTCATACTTCCTTGCTTAGTTGTTCATTTTTGGTAGTCATGTTTTGAGATTGCACGCTGTGCATTTGTAACGTTCTTATTTGAATATTAACGTGCCTACATTGTGCTGACTAGATCTTCAAGAATAGAAAAGCCTGAGTTCTACAGGCTTTTCTGAGATTTTGTAAAGATGGAAAATATAATTAAATCAGTATTAAAACAATAGAAGCCAATAGACCGTCTCCACCACAGTAGAAAAACAAATGTGTGTGTACTCTATCTTCTGTAAACATTTCCCTCAATTAGTTTTCTTTTTTTATGTGCACAAAAAAAGAAAAAAAAAACTCGCATCATATAGTATCTGAGACAAGTAGCCTATTCTCTTGAGCCTTTTGTCTAAGTATGATCGTGCAGGAACTAAAGGTAAATGGCATCCGTCAAGACAATGAAAGAGTACATTATGAGAAAGGATAGGATTTGTGCTGAAAGTGTCTGTCCAGTAACCTCTTAATTGGGAATGTGTAGTCATGATTGTTCCTGTTCTATTGCTTCACAATAAAATATTAATTCATGATGACAGTCTGCACAATGCATTTCAGTGTGGTGTGTTCTAGCAGTAACAGCAGCTGAACTATAATTACCTCCTGCTTATCTTCTCCTCGCCAGTTGGTGTCATACGCAGCAACTCACGTCTCCGGTTAGGTTTGGCCACAACTGTGCCTTGTTTGTGCGCTCGTCTGCTCCTGCAGTGTGGTAATTACTGCCGAAGCTGTGTACCTGTGGTGTGTTCGGAAAGATCAATTCCTGGAGCCCTCAGCCAGGGGTCCAAAGGGGGTCTCCCTAGGAACATCTTCCCAGGGGTGTCATTATTTTACAGGCCTGTCTAATTGATCCCCAACCCAGAGGAGATTGTTTAGGGTCACATCAGTGGCTAATTTACTCATCCATCCCTGGGAGCTGAGGGAAGAGCTGCGTACCCCAGCCCCAGGGATGTAGTCCCTCTGTTGTAGTAAACAAAGCTGTCCTCTGTATGTGCCTAGCAAAAATGTGGCTTTGAGAAGCGGGTCTGGGGAGGGTAGGAGGTTATCTTTTATTAATAGCACTGCTGGAGCACTCCCCGTCCGGTGGTTAATCATGTTGCTCATGAACTATGGGGAGTCGTGCCGGCTGATTCTAGGAACTGTCTCATTTCTACAATATATGGTCCTTTGTACCCATCCCCCCACTGCAGGGCCCGTATTCACTAGTGTGGTCGTCAGGCCTGCATGGCTCCATGTTGTAACTAGGGATGTAACGGTATGAAAATATCATATCATGATTCTAGTGACCAAAGTTATCACGATTATCAATATTATCACGGTTTTGTTAGAAGAAGTTGAGGTTGATTTCGAGTTCACATACAAACATAAATAGATTAGGCTAGTTAAATTTTTCAATTTTAATGTAAGACAACATATTTTTCGTCAGTGATAGAAATATGATTTAAGACGGTAGTGTAAGCAAGTTTAGTTTGAAAACGTTTAATAGTAAATAAGACACAATTAGACAATATTTGAATAAAATAATAATAATAAATATTTATTTGCAACAACTGATGGAGTACTGAATGCTGCACGCACGCACAGCGTTGTCAAGGTAACATTTGGTCAGTCATTCCCTTCGCCAAGGGAGTTCCAAACGCTTATACGAGACCGTAATACCCTGCACCCTTCAAAGAACACACTTTAAGGGCTCTACCCTTCGAAGGGAGTAGGGCATAGTGTTGCTCACTTCTGTTTGGAAGTCGCCCCATGTCTCTTGTACCACCGCAGAGGTGCGGACGCGCTCTCTCGTTTCATTCAAATGCAGCTTGCCGTCTTGAGTCTCAGTTTTTATTTTGGTATTGAGGTAAACGTTACCTTGCATTCCAGACAGGGTGACCGTCGTCGATTAAATTGCCTTCAGGACTCTTGTAAAAGCCCAAATACGACCAGACCACCGATTTGGTCCTCTTAGATGGCTGAAAAATCTCCCGAGCGTTGTCACTGCCTTCCGCCATTTCGTCTTGTGCAAAAAACAACAACAACACTGCATGCTGCTTCTGCGTCAGACTGATGTTGGCTGGACAGGATTTACCGCGAGTTTTCAAAATTGCGATAATCAAACACGGTTTTGATGATAATTAAATTTTAAACGGTAATACTAACCGTCAGGGCATTTTATCGTGATTTATCGTAAAACCGGTAATCGTTACATCCCTAGTTGTAACTGAGTTTGGGTACTCATTCACTCCCTCTCCACAACATAAGCATTGGCGTCAGTGTCTCTCAAAATCCATTTCCCTTTGGCAGCAGTGCCGTTCTCTCCGTACCCTGGAGTACGCTGAGGCCTGTCCGCTCTGGAGCTCTCGTTGCTTCAAGAACTTAATATGCTGTTTTGTAAAACTGACCTTTTCCTTCACTTTGAGAAAAAGTAGTAAATTTATAATCGCTTGTCACTGGGACAGTACCCTTAAACAGTGCTAATATGTATCCTTAAAGGGATAGTTCACCTAAAATTCAAATTGTCATCTTTTATTTATCCTCATGTTGTTCCAAAACTGCATGCATTTTTTCTGTCAAACGTAAAAAAATATATTTTGTCTCAGTGTTTTTTCTTCCATAAAAAAAGGACCCAAAAGTTATTTTGAGTTCCACAGAAGAAAGAAAGTCATGTAGATTTGGAACGACATGAGTGTGAGTAAATGATTACAGAATTTTCGTTTTTGGTTGAACTGTTCCTTTAAAGTCAGCATGAAAAAGAATTTGCAGTCGTCTTTTCCCCCTCTTCTGACATATATCTGAGTGTAACAGCTTCTCAGAATGAGAAAAAAATGGGTAGGACTTATTTTTGTCCACTGAGAATTGATTGGATCATTGTTTGCTAATTGCTGTGATCTCACATCAGAGTGACAGCTTGCTGGATTGGAGGGATTATTGTCTCGTCCTCGTGCCGGTGTACACGTACGTCATCACAGAAGACATGTTGTTGCGAGGGGAAAGGAACATTAATGTTTTTGATATAAGACTATAAGGGCACATGAATTTAAAATTATGGTGTGCACAGATAAATCATTTAAAATAAACACTGCAATATGTCATATTAAAAAAAAATTCAATTTTGATTTCATGGTGACTTCAAAGGATCTGCACCAGTGATGAGCTAAAAGCTACCAAGCTTTCCCTAAAAGTATTTTTTCTGACAGTGCCTCCCAAACAAATTATTATTTGTTAAAGCTAGATAAATACTCTAGTCCTACAGTTGTCTGCCCTCCTTGGTCATTAACATGATCGCATTGTCTTGTTTTCATCATTATAGGAAGTTCTCCATCTTGGCACTTCATCCGTCTCCACCTCCACCCACTTCCTCTTTTCACACGTTATCACCTCATCCAGCCTGCTGCATGTCTCCGCCATCTCTCCTCTCCCAATCATGCGATTTCTCTTTCCATTCACAGGCTGGAAGGGGTTTTGTCATCCATTTATTCACTCACTTACCCTCCCACACACATCGTTCAAGATTTACCATTACACTCCATGCTGAGATGAGGTCCTCAGAGCAGGTCTGCAGATCTCTGTTGGGGTCTTAGGATAACGGAAAAGGCAGAACCTCAAGCTTTTCACTGCAAATATTGGTGTCACTTAAAGTCGGTTTCTGCTTCTTGCAGATGATTGGTTAGATGTTGGCATGACAGACTGGGGCAGTTTGGCGAGCCAGACTGTCGAGATCACATCCAGACACAAAATAATAATTCTGTCATTATTTACTCACCTTCTTATTGTATGTCTTCTGTGGAACTATTTTGAGAAATGTATGAAAGTCAATGTTGTTTGGATCCCAACATTTTCCTTGTATGTTCCTCTGAAGAAAGAAAGTCCTATAGATTTGGAACAAAATTAATGTGAGTAAATGATGAATTGGATTAAAAATTTTTTGAGTGAACTTTTAATTGCTAGCGGTGCAGTTTTAGTTTCTCTCTCATTTTCAGCAGATTCTAAAATCATTAAAAAAACGATCCTGCATCGTATAGGTAAACACCAGAAGCGACCATCGTTGAGAAGCGTGAGCGTTTGAAGTTGTGGTGAGTGTAGGTGGAGAGGGAACACGTTTGATGCTATAAAGAAGCACGTAGGAGGAGACACTGTGTTTTCGTACTGTGCTGCTGAATTCACGCCGTCTATTTTTGATAGTCATTATTCTCATGCATATGGTCTATGTTTGTGCTCTGTTTTTGATATGCAGACGTGCCATGCGGGCATACATTTGATTTAGCCATGCTGGATATGCATCTGGAGCAATGACTAAATAAAGCACTATGCATTTTACGTGTGGACTCTAATGAGACATTGAGTGGAGGGGGCTCCATTCATCCTCATGCCTGAGCAGCCAAAGTAATGATTCTGTACATCAGTTATCTAGTCTTTAGACTCCTGTCTCTCGAGAGAAAGTGAGAAAGAGGCGAATGCTGCAAAACTGGCTAAAGGACGGCGATCGGTAGAGTGATGGATTGAAAAAGAGAGTGGTAGAAAGAGGAGAAACAAAACAAAAAGATGGATGAAAACGGACTAACAGAGAGTTTAGCACCGGAATGGGATTTGGCTTTAAACTGAGTAATAGAAGTCGACAGTGAAAGAGTTGGATGGAGAAAACCGGGTACGTGGGGCAGGCCTGAGTTCTTGAGTCCTCCAGCACTTT